TGCTNCCAATGTGTTTATACACAAGGACTTTTGGGCCTGTATCCCTTGCATTTTATGTAGGATGGGTTGTCAATAAACATACATGATTTATTTAATTATTAATATCTAAAACATAAACAGAAAATGATTAAACAAAAGTCGAAAATGTTCATTTCACAAGCTAAATTGGAGTTATCTCCCCTGCGCTGTTTAATTGGATTGTTATGACAGAATACATGTAAGTTTGTAAATGAGTTTGGAAAGGACTTAAATAGGCCTAGCCTGATGTCCAATCCAATTGACATATATAAAGTCAATAAAATCTGATGAAATGAAATGAAAAAATGCATGAAATATATTCAGGCGGTTGACATTTCGTTTTCTATGAATAAAACTATACTTTATCAATCATTGGCTTGTTAGGACCTGTACACACTGATGGTGGCATTTACCTCACACTCAGACATTCCTCTGTCTATTAGACATTCCTTTGTGTATCAGATAGTCATCACGATCATGAACCGTCGGCACTCTCCTGGTCGATATTCATCATTATGTAAGGCATTAGCCAAGTACCGGTGTAATGAGGCGTAGAAAATGTATTGATTAATCTGACATTCTGCTGGTATAATATGCAATATGTAATTATGCAGATAAACATGTTTACAAACGAACAAGTGTTTATAACAAAATCATAGGTTTATCCCGTAGCAAGATATTGCTTAATGCCGAAAATCAAGCTCAATATTTATTAGTATATATATATATTCGTGGAGGTTCCTATCACATTTATATTACTGTGTAGTAAAAGGACGTGTGCAACGCCTATATGGTATTTACGTTTTCCTCGTTGATGTTATTTTGTTGATAACACTGATTACAAAACATCGTGTCCAGTTCCTGGTCAGTTAATCTGTTTGGCTACCGTCAGCACTTGTTTGATGATACCATTGAGGCCGTAGTCATGTGTGCCCAATAGATACGAACTTAATAACCGACTATTATCTAGTTGTATTCTAATTTAATTTGGAACTTCGTATCGCTCTCGCGATTGGATTAGTTGTAGAGGTAATAATACGGGTTCTTTGTACAACTCGAACAAGACACATGTATCACATGTACTTATTTTACGATGTGAGATGGTAAATAATGATAACTTTATGATGTTGTTCCGGAAACCGGAAGTCCATATACAAAACACTGAAACAGGATACAGAGACGCGCACGGAATAAACAAAGTGGTCGGTCACGGATATCCCATTGATGAACATTCTTTTTATGCAACAGACATTATGATAAATAGAAACTACAACAGTTTACCTCGAACTCGATTTATTTTCTTAATTTCAAACAAAACATACAAAAAATACATGTGTCCTAACTAGGATTCGTGTGTTAAACACGCTTATCTGTTTTAATATAGCTAGTCCTACCTATTATGTTCATTGTAACGTGTCCATAACAACGGATCGGTCATTTTTTCTTCACAATGGTGACATGGCTGGAGTACCTAACATACAACTTTTATGTCATCATTGTGGCTATTTCTACACAGATTTTGTATCTCATGTGATTCTGCATAGGTCTGTAACAGAAAATCTTCGTGACAATTTATGGTGTATAATTGCCTGCATTTCAAGTATTTAACTCAGTTCATATCTGCATTCACTGCCTAACTATTCAGTTATTCACATTTTACTAGGAGGCCCAATGACCTATAATTTAAATGAAATTGATTTAGAAGAATTTAGACTAGAATCCGTATATGCGATAAAAAGAATGTTTGACTTATATACGTAATAATAATTATTATAATAATGTCTTACAAATACTTGCCATTTTAATATAAGGAAAATGTAAAAAAAAAAAAAAAAAAAAAAAAAGTTTTTTATTGGCTTCATAAACCAGTATTATATCACTGATATTTAATAATATGTATATACGTTTGGGAACTTGTATGAATGTCACGATTGTTGTCATTTTGTAAATAATGTATTATTCATGTACTATTGTATCATGCTCTCCAATTTGGAGGAAATAAAAATGATATATAGATATCAAATTTACTGAAATATGACATACACTGCTGGTGCTCACTTAGCCGGTCTGACAAGGTCATTGCGCTGAACAAAACTGTGGAACAATACACCCTGATTTTGTTAACATCGAGTCTTCACATCGCTCCCGTTTTCTGATGTATCAGGAAACGGGAGCGATGCGAAGATATCATTTTAATTAGATTTATACAATAGGCAATTCCCATCCTGTCGACGTAGAAAAAATCGATCATGTTGAAATACAGTAAATCCAATGCTTTATCTTCATAACAGAATGTTCACATAATACTAATGAAAACGCACGGAATCGTCTAAGGTTGAAGATCAAAGGTCAGAGTCACAAGATCATCTTACTTAGTGGGCATAGAAAGTGCAAGTATTATATAACAAAATAATGTTCTTTTAATGATTTAAGTAAATGCGTAAGGCCCTAGAGGTCATTAGGAAATGGACTACTTTGACAGATGTTTCGCGCTGGTCGTCTGTTAAGTAAGTAGCACACTGAGACGAATGGGAGGGGCCGGTTTCGGTCATCTGTCATCTGCTATCATGTCAATGTATAGGGGCTATGTACGGGATATGGACAAGAAAATGTACTTTTATGAAGTTTTTAAAGAAAGCAACGGTTATCTTATTAATAAATCTGTTGTGTGTTTCGTTCATCCTCATGCATGGCAATTCCATGGCCGCAGACTGCATATTACCCTAGGTGTTGATAGGACGTTATTCCCTTAACAATGGACCCGTGATAATGGCGCTTGGATTCAGTCTGAGACAATACAATTACTGTAATTTCTGCATAAAAAGATAAGAGTGTTTTAAACTTCTACCGACAGTCATATGTTGTTTATCAAAAAGAGTTTCTCATTGTTGATACTGGTTGGCATTTTCTTAAATTCCTGTAGATCGATTAATAAACATGGAACATTCGATAGTATTATGACGTTATCAAACCGCGACACACTGACAACGACCAGTACACTGACTACATATAGGGAGATTCTCACGAATTATTGGATGGCATTGGTAAGGGGTATTATACTGAATCTTGACCTTAAAAAGGGTTATTGTACTGAATCTGGCTGTTAAGAAACCTTGGTAAAGGGTCATTGTACTGAATTTGACTTTTAAGAAACCTTGGGAATCTGGCTGTTAAGAAACCTTGGAAAAGGGTTATGGGTTATTGTACTGAATCTGGCTCTTTAAGAAACTTTGGTAAAGGGTTAACCTTGATAAAGGGTTTTGTACTGAATCTTGCTCTGAAGAAACCTTGATAAAGGGTTATTGTACTGAATCTTGCTGTTAAGAAACCATAGTAAAGGGTTGTTGTACTGAATCTGGCTGTTAAGAAACCTTGGTAAAGGGCTATTGTACTGAATCTGGCTCTTTAAGAAATCTTTGTAAGGGGTTATTGTACTGAATCTGGCTCTTTAAGAAATCTTTGTAAGGGGTTATTGTACTGAATCTGGCTCTTTAAGAAATCTTTGTAAGGGGTTATTGTACTGAATCTGGCTCTTTAAGAAACTTTGGTAAAGGGTTAACCTCGATAAAGGGTTTTGTACTGAACATTGCTCTGAAGAAACCTTGATAAAGGGTTATTGTACTGAATCTTGCTGTTAAGAAACCATAGTAAAGGGTTGTTGTACTGAATCTGGCTGTTAAGAAACCTTGGTAAAGGGTTATTGTACTGAATCTGGCTCTTTAAGAAATCTTTGTAAGGGGTTATTGTACTGAATCTGGCTCTTTAAGAAACCTTGGTAAAGGGGGATTGTACTGAATCAGGCTCTTTAAAAACCTTGGTAAAGGGTTATGGGTTATTGTACTGAATCTGGCTCTTTAAGAAACTTTGGTAAAGGGTTATTGTACTGAATCAGGCTCTTTAGAAACCATGGTAAAGGGTTATTGTACTTTTTCTGTACATCAAATCGTTCATGCCTAATACTAATGATGTAAGAGAAAACGTGTATCAGATTATACCGTGTTTGTTATTTCTCCGGGAAGCCGGTTAATAGAGACGTAGGACATTGACTACCATGGACGAAATAGGATATAGGTTTGTTTGTTGAAAGAATCAACACTAACACATGTACCAGAGTAATAGCTTGTGAACGACTTTGGCAGGTGTCTAAACTTTTATTGTGTATGGAAAGTGTTCGAGTCAGAAGTGTACCTGTACCCAAGTGTGTAGATTTGTCTAAGTATCGTTATTTTGCGAATGACAAGTGTCTAAGTAAGAAAAAACGGTACATATGTGTTTGACAGGTGTTTTAAGTATCATTTGCTGGATAACCGATCTTCTCGGTAGTGAAGCGGCATAAAATCTCTCAAACAAAAATCTACTATTCCCCATCATTAATGAAATTGTAAATGTATTATTTGGAAAAGTCAAGGTATGCATTTCAAACCATACATTGGGTAGTAGTAGCCCATTTGGAAGCTAGAAAATCTTGTTTTAGCTTGAAGAATGTGTAAAAAAATAAATTTCTTTTACAATCAATTTGCAAAATAAACTGAACGAATATTTTATTGAGTTGATTGCAGTCATAACAACACGGAATAGCTTGGTTACTAAGTTCATTGAATCACCTTGATCTCACCCCTCACTACTGTCCAAAGACTACATCTGGATAGTATCACACCTTCCGATTGACCAGTACCCCTGGTTTGGCCCCAGTTGCCGACTCTCGCGTTCAGGTAACCTATTACATTTCTGAAAGATGAAACGTTGCCAAGAAAGTGTTTGGATCTTCTGGAGGTTCCTGTTGGGGTAACAGAATAATTTAAAATGTAATTTATCTGTGTGGCCAACGGCAATCGTTTCGAGATAAAAGATTCGTGATAATATTTCAAGATGGGAACAAACCAATCACCATCGGTGTAACTTCAGTTAAATTATGATGTAGTGTTAAAAATTAATACACGAATCCCGTCGGAGGCCCCATAGTCATTCCACGGCGGTATAAATAGAAACAGCAACTTCTTAAAATACCCTTACTTTCTTACGTTTCATGATCTGGTTTTAAACTTAAAAGCCAAAGTAAAGGATGAGAGTGAACACAGGAATATACATCTAGTGGTTTTTCTGTGGAATGAAAGTCGCCGCCTTAAAATTGGGAATGTAGCCCGAGACAATTGCGCATTGGAGATACCTCGCACTGGTCGAGTGGAATAATATCAGCAATAAGTATAAGATGTTACAATCGGCTCGTGTTTATTTTCGGCTGTGTGCTATATTTATATCTGACAGTTAATTATCTTCGCGTGGAAATATTAACTTCTGTGGGTACCATTCAGAAAAAAAGTACGGATGGAAAAGGATGCCAGTGTTCTGACGGGTCGGAATACATTTTCTGTGCGTTCGATACGATGCATATTTAATTGAGTGCATTCGAATTGAACAATTAACTGTTACTTTGACTTGATACAATGGCTCATAAATGGTACGACCATTTTACAGTCTGGCTAAAAATAGGATTAGCTTTACAACTTGTGTCTACCATTTTATTTATTGTTGGATTTTCCACGGACGTATGGATTTTTGCGACATTTCGAGAGGATGCCAGGCGGGAGTACGGTCTGTGGAGGTACCTGTTCTATACTTATAGTTCACGGTACGAGGACATGGGGGCTATTAGGGCTAACATAGGCAATAATGCCATCGTCATTACGAGATCAGGTGAGAACCCGGATGTCGTTACAACATCAAGTTGGTTTAACACTATTTTTCAAATGGTTCACTCTTGAAGCGAAAACTAGGGGTACCAAAAACAGCAGGTATAGTTTGTTATCCGTCATTTCTAGTGATGCGCAGACTTGTATTTACTATCTCCATGTATGACGTCCACGTGATAGGTATATCTAATTTACATAAAGGTAACAATTAAACGATTGAATTCATTGACGAACGGTGACGGGTTAGGGAATTGCAATGTTAGCAATACAAATGTGTTATGGTCATTTTAAGAACTAACATTATATTATCTTTTTATGAAAACCTCTTTTCTTCAAGATTTTGGTTAAAGAGCATGCTAGATTATAAAGTGAATGGTTTCAATCTGATCTCAGCTTTGGAATGTACTTCATCAGCCCTATATATTACAAACGCATTCAATAAAAAATAAACTTTTGCAATCTAACAGGCGATCTTGATAAGTTATCCTTTAAAAGCCCGCCTACACAAGTGGCAATAAAGATTGCGACTTGACAGATAAGACCTACATTATCTCGTGTGTAACCGTTATATCTGCAGCATCATGAAGCATACATGCTGAACACATTGATAACTGTACATAAATAACATCGTCGTTCTAATATAGAATACATTATGTAATTTGATGTATATTGCCAGAGAAATCAGACATACAAACTAAACGAATCCCGGAAAGATATCTCGTGAATTAGAATTTATCAGAATATGATATTTACAACTTAGTAACCCCTATCTTAACTATAATTCTTTTATTTGATATTTTTAATTCATTGATCTTAACTCTTTTCATGTATTTATTTTGCCTTTTTCTTTCACTGTGCCTCCGAACTAGGCATGCGCATTGCGATGCTGGTTTACTTAGTTTCACGAATCCTTCCTTGATTCCTCTCATTCCGTTCTCTCCCCCATCACGTGTACCTATTGGCCAACTGTTGGCGTGTTGATCATTAACTCAGTCAGCGCTACCCTCCGTTAAGGCTTTCTGCGCTGCTTTCCGAGTTATGACGTAATTAAACAGGTGTTTTTTTCAAGCTCGCAATAAAAACTAGTACCCCGTAGTGACCCTCTTATCTTGTGATGTCCGTGTTTACAACTTCTGAATAATGACAGGAAGTGATGTTTATGCATTCTTGATGCACATTCTCTCGGAGAGGCCCACGACGGGGTGTATAGGCTTCAGTACACACTGTTCTGGTAGAGCGGTATGATACAATTACTATTTTGTGTAAGTGTTGTCTCGATTATTTGACGTTGAGTACATTTCATAGCCGTTCGACCTTTAAGGAAATGTATGTTTTTGTTATCTTGACACATTCGAGAATATAAACCATGCAAGTTTCCCTTTTCATCATCCAGTGTCTCTTCCCCCAATAGGCATACTTTGCATTACGGTTAGGAAAAAACAGCGAAATTCATCGCGATAATGTTTATTACATAACATGTCGAATACACCGTTTGTTATCGACAGCAAGATAACTGAATATACACACCCTGAACAGACGCTCTAGTGTCGGTAATAATGTAACAGCATGGAATTGCAGTATGGCCTATCGTTGTGATTGTTTATCTTGTTTGTTAGCGGAACTTCTTCTTGAAGGTCATAACTACGTTTTGCTTTATAATGGTATAACTTACTGCACATGTAAGCGTTTTGTGGAATCAGTTACTCAAATCCTCCTATCAAAGAGTAACACTGCCATACATACATGTAGGTATATAATGAACTTTGATCACGACGGCTAGAATTATATTGAATTTATAAATATCATCTGTTTTGTTAAGTAGCATGGTAATGTTTACTCTAATTACCATTTCCGAACTCTTCATGCTTTCCTTTCGATGAATAAATTCATCACATCACAAGGAAAGCCACGAATGGTAAGAACAGTTCTATTTTGATGAACATTGGGGTTTTCATTGAATGAACTGGCTCACTGTAGTCGATCGTCAGAGTGTGTGAGTTTTGAAGAATATTTAGTAATCTTCAACTTTGAACGAAAAAAGGATGGGAATCTTCATGAATTCTTACATACAAGCTTACTTTCTTGTTGGTACCGTCACCAACTTATAAATAGTACCCTTTCTTTGTTCAAAAGCATGATTTGACTTCTCCAATCCGGAGAAAAAATAATTAAGACTTGATATGTTACTTTTCTTACAACATAACGTATTTTGACTTCACAGAGTTTGAAGTTATATACCACTGTAAAATTATAGGGATGATCCCCTATAGGACATGCGGGAATAACGGAAACATGAACAGTCATGAATGAAACCTATTCCGTCTTTGCGTATTGCAGAGTTATCTTCTCTTGAGAGCAGGGATTGATTGTTACGTCATTTGTTTGTGTGAGGAAAGTCATCAAGTTTTGAGAAAACGACGTAATTTTCACAAACCAATGACGTAACAATCAATACCTGCTCACAAGAGCAGATAACTCTGCAATACGAAAAGACGGAATAGCAGTTTCGGGAATAACGACACCCATAGTCGTAAGGGCAATGATGAAACCTATAGCAGTAACAGAACAGTTACTGTTGAAATGAAATGTATAGCCGTAACTGAGTCTGCTTAGAGAAATCTTTATGATGTAGGTCGGGTACACTGTAAATAAGCAAGGACTAACGAGGTCATATGTATGGCAGGAATAACGAGGTTATAGAGTGAATGGACTAACGAGATAATAGAGTTTCTGGACTAACGAGGTTATAGAGTGAATGGACTAACGAGGTTATAGAGTGTCTGGACTAACGAGGTTATAGTTGTGGCAGGAATAATGAGATAATAGAGTGAATGGACTAACGAGGTTATAGAGAGTCTGGACTAACGAGGTTATAGAGTGTCTGGACTAACGAGGTTATAGGTGTGTCAGGACTAACGAGGTATAGATTATCTGGACTAACGAGGTTATAGAGTGTCTGGACTAATGAGGTTATAGAGTGTCTGGACTAACGAGGTTTTAGAAGTATCTGGACTAACGAGACTAGTTTGCCTGAACAAACAAGGCTTTAGTAGTGTCTTGACCAACGGGGTCTCAATGAAACGAAATCAATGGTTGCTCTACATGACCTGATTTAACACTGTCTTCGCCATCTCCAGCGGCTATCTTGTATTCATGGGTTAGTACACGTTCTAGAGGCTCCGATAGGGGTACCACAATGCCTCAATTGATCGTAACTGCGGGGCTCTGGAATACCATTAATGATACCGCTCAAAATCAGCCATGCTTTTTTTTCATTTTGACACCTACATCAAACGTAACGTAATGAAAGGAACAATATACATGTGGAACCGATTTTTTTTTATTTCTTCACCCTTATCTGAGGCCCTGAAATGATGTTTCGTATGGCTTATTATTGACGATTACAAAAATACTGACGTCATGATTTCTTCTGAGATTCATACCGCTGTGATAAATGTAAACGGACAGCACTACCTACAAATTATGTACACGTAGATACTTAATATGAAGCAGTAACGCCACAATTTGTTTTTCTTACATACAGGTTTCTATATCTTTTTGACTGTGTCACTGGCGGAAATATTACATGTACGTACAGCAGATATTCAATCATAATGACTTTCTCATCGTTCGTAATACTGCTGCCACTACGACAGTAGATTATATCAAAAGATACAACTCGTCAATCGCACGGTGATCAAGAGTTACGGCAACCGTTGTAGCAAACATCCATTTTAACGATAACGCTGTCCTATCATTGTTATCATCCGGGGAGTCCGAGTTAGCTATCCATGTGACGTCAACATTATCGTCAAAATGGAGTATTATTTTGTGCCAACGACGTCATTCACTATTGTGACATTTTGATTGGGCATGCATCGATTCTTACTGACCATATATGGTCTTAAATACTGCTCTTGGTTGGTGAAAAGAATGTTATAATATTCCGTCTTTGCGTATTGCAGAGTTATCTTCTCTTGGGAGCATGTATTGATTGTTACGTCATTGGTTTGTGTGACAAAATTACGTCGTTTTCTCAAAAATTGATGACGTTACTCTCAAAAAACAAGTGACGTAACAATCAATACCTGTTCCAATATAGATATTTGACCGAATTCTATTTTTTCATTTATGTATACGGTTTGACAAAACTATTTGAAGTCACAACTTGCGATAGAAGGATGACCAGTCAATACACATGAAACGTCTTCCTATTGATCTCATGACCTTCCAAACGTTAATCTGTACTGACCTTGACCTCGTTATGTTACATTGACCTCTTTATCTTACAGATTGGTACCGTGCCACCCAGGCAATGGAGTGCTTCGGTCTCATCTGCATCGTCATCGCCACCTTTCTCCTTCTGCTTTACTTCTTTGTCGCCTCCTGTAAACGAAGGAATGCTCTCCTCGCCACCATCGTCTTCACCTTCGCTTCCGGTGGGTACACTTCAGTGTTTACGATTTGTTCGTATGAGAGATTACTGTGAATGAAGTAGATATAATGAATTACCATTTTCTCGTTTTTTTTGCAAAGCTGCGAATGAAATTGTATAATCGTCGGAAAAAGTTAAAAAATGCCAACTCCTGTTAAATCGTGAAATGTCAATGACGATTTAGTTTTTATTTCTGTCGATTAATATTAATAGTATGCCTGAGAAGGCCCTACATCGTACAGATCCAGATATGATTTCACCATTTTATTCAAGAAACAACTCTGATTTTCCCCTTCATTTTGAAGTGCAAAACATTTCTGAAAATCATGAAAATAGTTACGAATAAACTTGTATTTTCCTCTTGGGTCTTGGTAATAAAATCAAAAAATCTAGTAGTTTTAGAACATAGCATTCTTGGAAAATAGTAAACTATTATTTTTTTTTATTAAAAAACTGACCTTAAATCGTTTCAATTGGTAATGAATCAAGCATAGAAATACTACTGACGCAATCTTAATGTGACGATTGTTATTGTTTTACAGTGGGTTTCATCGTCATTGGAATCGCCATTTTTGCATCCAAGTTCGACAACTATGGCTATGAAGTAGGCTGGTCCATGGGATTGGCCATCGCGGCAGCCATATTGGCCTTCGTAGCAGGCATCATGGAAGTTTTAGAAATTAAGTAAATCAGTGTCTTACTTTGTCTCTGACGCCAAATACACACGTTCCCTCCATTTAAGATGAGAAGATTTGAGTTTCTACCATGTAGCTCCCCGGAGAAAGCGATAAGAGATCCGGCTTTTACGCCGAAAAGTAATACAAACTTGGAGGGTTACAGATACATGTTTCGATGGACGAGATTTTACATAATCTTTTGACAAACCATCTTCTGACCAATAACTACTAATTCAGTTTAAGATTATATATATTTACTCAAAATCTTTATCGATTTGTTTTGTACCTTACTGCAACTCGCAAATTGTTTTTCGATCATGAATGGTGGAAACAGTAAAATGAGATAGGGAAACAACGGAATCATATATAGGAAAATGACAGAACTAAATAACAACGATAACAGAATTTTATAGTAAAACAACAGAATTATATATAAAGATAACAGAATAAAGTGATAAAGCAACAGAATTAGATAGGGAAAAGGGAAAATCAGATAAAAAAACGATAACAAAACATTATTAGATATGAACATCCCCGTCCATATTATTTCCCAGGCTGCCATCTCGAGCTTGATTTGTGTAATAAATATGTATAATTAAGGTTGACCCCCTGTTAAATGTGTATGTCTTTTGAAGTGCTCTAACACAGCTCGTTTTCGAGCTAACTACAATCTGTAAAGTAAATAATTTATAATAATATTTATACTGACATATTTTATAGATCTATATATTTTTCTCTACTGAAAGTGCTTTTATCATACGGGTAAAGGTTACATGTAGAATACTTTCAATCTTTATTGGTCACATATATGACCTTTTCCAATACATGAGCTTTTACATTATTCAGATCCATTGATATTAGATATAGGAAATTTATCGTAAACAACCCCGTCTCAAAAAGGTGACTAATTCGTGTTAAACACATAAATGCGTTTTTATGCAGTGTATACCTATAGGCAGTGCCTTGGCAAGGGTTTCATTTGTGACCTTGACTCCTAAAGTGTTTGGTGACGTAGGCAGCAGAAGTATAAATGGCCGTTGTGTTGTTGTTTCTTGGTTCGTAATTAACTGTTCCTTCATTTCTTCTGATTCTGATTGGTGGGGGCCACTCGCATGTTAGCGCAGTATGGAAAACCAGTTTGGAAACAGAAAAGTCCAAGGGAGACAACTCTTACTGAATTTGTGACACCCCTCGTCAAATCCCGTCATGGTATCATTATATACATATATATATTTAAGTCTGGTTGGTATTTCGTTATGAGTGAATGCATGGCTAATCGTTTAAACTGTATTATGCAAATATGACATTTATTTAGCTAGTTTGCTTGTGTAATATTTGTTCTTTCTTACTGTAAACATTTTAATAAAAAAAATAATATTGAACATCTTTGTTTTTAATGAAATCCCGAAATTCCATCCTCGAAATGCTAGGGTTTACGCTCTCTTTCGATGCAGAGAACTTAAATAAGCGTAACTCCTGGAATTTCAAGGATTCTCATATTCATGACAGACTCAGTGTCGAATTCTGTGTCAGATTCAATGTTTAACATCATGACATACCCCAAGAGCGATTCTTTGGCCAATTCCATGGCAGAATCTATATCAGATTCATGTCAGAAAAGTTCCATGTCATTGTCCAAGGCAGTCTGACGCCAGGGAAGACTCCAACACGGACTCAAAGACAAACTCTGAGACAAACTGCAAGGAGGTTAAGAATTATATTCAGGTAGGTGGACTACTTGAGTTTCACAAATGGCCCGAACTGGAATGAAGGAGTATTTTCTCGGTTTCCATTTGAGTTGGACATAGTACATTGTATATACATGTATGATCGCAGATGACTGTCATCCATCCTAACCTCATATAACCGGGGATCAAAGCTGGACAACACAGAACTATACAGTGAAGGAAAGTAGCCACATTGAAGTATATCATCTTTACCTGCCGATAAAGACATCAGTGGATAATATTTCAAACTTCAAATCTTACTCCGTGTACAGTGTTATTTTAGTTTAACACTAAACAGCAGAAATTATTTTAGTTTGTTTTATTTTCCTACGATTTCGCTGACGTAATGTATTGAACATGCTTATACAAGTATGTGTTATATACGGAAGTCTAGGATTTAAGCTTTGTGTTTGACTTTCATTTCGCTAATCGGAAAATGTGGGTTTCCAAAATGTGTTATTGCAAAGCGAAGTGTGCTGATTAAACGACCAAAAGCACCAGTATACATGTATATATATGTACGTATACCACTGGTTGTTAGAAGTCGGACAGAAGGCATTTATAAATATTACCTCTTCACTCAAAATAATATTGGAGCTGTATCATAATGAAAAAAAACCAAAACGTTTTGACATCACGGAGAAATAGCTAGCATATGGTGTACATTGTATAACACTGTAGTGGTGTACATTGTATAACATTGTTATGGTGTACATTGTATAATATTGTAGAAGTATACATTGTATAAAGGTGTACCTTGTATGACACTGTAGTGGTGTACATTGTATAAAGGTGTACCTTGTATAACATTGTTATGGTGTACATTGTATAATATTGTAGTGGTATACATTGTATAAAGGTGTACATTGTATAACACTGTAGTGGTGTACATTGTATAACACTGTAGTGGTGTACATTGTATAATATTGTTATGATGTACATTGTATAACATTGTAGTGGGGTACATTGAATAACCTCTGCATAGGTAATAAATGCGAAGGTACATCTTGAAGATCAAAGAGAAAAAACTCCATGTAATTAATTAACAGATTATTTTGATACATTGTTTTATTACAAATGAACCTGCATACCGCATTCCTGAGATAACAATAGTTTATGAAATCTCTTGTCTGCAGTAACGGTTCTAAAACACATAAATCTCGACATTATATTTCTGCCGTGTACTGAAGGTGTACAGGTAGGTAGATAATGACCTCGATTGCAGATATACATCGGTATTTCTACCGTATTACGTTAAAGCATATACACACCGCTTTATTAGGTAAAGAATATCATCTCGTACACAATTATGAATTATTAATGAGGTTACGTAACCCTGTCTATTGCAATTAATCGCCTTGATCAGTGGCGTGCACAAGGTTGTCTACAGCTGCGAGGTCACGTAAGTCGTGTCTGCACCCTCCTTCCACCGAGCCTGCTAGTACGTGACCCCCATATCCTAGGTCTAAGGTCTTTATTAAACTTTTAACAGTCTTTAGGACAACCACCTATTGTTTTTGTTATATTTTATTAGGTTTTTGTTTGTAATGAGTGTATTAATAAGATTTTGAAAACCTTGGACCTATCTATACAATCACGGGTGAAACATGAGTTACAAAATATTCCTCGTGTGGCCCGGAGGAATTAAAAGACTGCTACTTTATAGTAAACGATAATTAGCTATTGTATTTATAAATATTGATCTTAGATTAACCCCTTGATGCAGAAATGTCCATTATAAACAACATCGGCCTTAATTTGTTTATATGAGACCCACAGAGTATTAAACGGGGTCAAAATTTAACATAAGCTAAGTATGATGAAACAGTCATCTCAACTTCACGTTCTATCGAGCCGATCTCAACCAAAAGTATAAAAACCACTTGTGATTCTGACCAAATATTGTTATTTTTAGAACAATCCAAGATGTCCGGTGTAGCCTATGATTGGTTGCGACATTTTCAACTTCTCGAGCTTCTTCAAGCCGCTGTTGCCTAATATAGTACAAATGATCAATGTGCGATATTTGGAGCAATCCGGGATCCAAGATGTGCCGCCGTTGTCTCTGATGGGCTAAAATGGCCACAACGAATGAACTCTTCATCAATGCACATCCACATTTGGTATACATTTTGAGATGTCGCTGTCATAACTTTGGGTCTGATAATAAGTCACGGTCTTTTTGTGGGCTTACCTGATGTAAAAGGAGTATACACTGTACAAAATGACACACCACAAGAATAATATATAATGTATATATGTAGCTTAGATATGAATAAGCAAACAGTAGCGGTATGATTAACAAAACAGCTTGATCAATGTAATTTTGGGGGAAAACGGAGAGTATGCCTGTGCAAAGAGCATACAATTTGTATAAATAAAAACAATCGATCTTTTCAACGATACCTAGCTCTTCCAAACGGTCGAATTCTATACTTTCCTCCCTTTCTGCATTTACTAAGTGTTGATTTATATCAATCAAACATCTAATGATACTCTCTATATCAGGGTAGGTTCAAACAAACATGAAATCTACTTTAATTAATCCTCAGTTATCAAACCACTCAAATACAGAATGTGCTTATCTCCCTTGTTTTTCTCTGTAACCTCTTTAAGTAGCACAGATAACTTAATGACCTGACGACGTCATAACCCAATCAAAATGGACACTTAGGTGACGTTATACTAATGTATGACACCACAATAAGACTATAAATGCTTACATACATTACCTTCCAATATGTTATTGATGGGAGATCGAGCCTCTTCCTTGAAGGCAAGGATAAGCCAGCGAAGTCTTAACCCTCAATGTGAGATTCTTCAATGTCTAACTATCGGCTTGTAGCAGGCCTCGGGTGAAACAGTAAAAAATATTTCCCCCGGGTTGATATTTCACAGTCATACCATAAGGGTAGGGGGCGATTCCAATATAGGGGAAGAATCCGTGTCATTTTCGGGTGGAGGAAAACACATAATCATAATGTGTTTTATGTTTAAGAGGTCTTCTACGCCATGCAATGTTTTTTCGAGCCTACTCCCCCATCCGCTTCCATTGAGCCCGCAGGGAACAGCTCTTGGAGGAGGTAATAATTGTAATTATATATTAAAATGTTATTCAGACATATCTCAGTGATTTTTGTAGCATACACATAAAAGCATCACGCGTAATCAATCAACTCTTGTGTCTATCAGTGTCAGTCAACAGACTTAGTGTAAGTCAATATATCACAGAACTAAAACACGTAATTTATGCCAAACCATGCTACACATCAAAAGTAGTAATAAGGATATTATCATCTCATTTGTTGGACACTTGTCTCACACAAATTTTAATCTTATTGTTAATGTAAAAGACGGTTTTGTTTTAGAAACAAATAGAGCTAAGGTGCCACAGGGGCAAGACACAGATTAACCCCACCCACTCCCTTTATGCTTATATAGTGTAATATAAGCGAATAGGGGATGGGTGTTAGTCTTTGCGTTGCCCCTGTGGGAGCTGCATACTGCTGGGTCTTCCTTTTCTAGCAGGCTTCACATGTTTTAATATTTATTGACTTCAATAGTATCATAATATTAAAACTGAGAAAGCAGTCTGATGCTTTTAAATTATTTGTAACTTAAAACAACATCTATTACCGTCAAGTTATCGGTGGTACCACTTTTGGTTGTTTAGTAAATAACTCGTTGCATGATTCTTTTTTATTTGGTATGGAAACCTTTCCCAGCTGATTGACTGGTTTTAGTATTATCACGAGTATAACAGTTACATTGCCCTATACATCAATGCTATTGTTGACATCGGCAAGAATTAATGATTCATGAACATTAAATTCATTATTAAACATAATCTGAAAAGTAACCCCCATTGCAATTCCAAAAAATAAACCCGTAAATAAGTTAAAATGAAGTGATAAAAAATAGCGCTTGAAGCCTAATGATCAACAATGCACTTATGTAGACTATTGTAATGCGTACTGATTTTTTTTTTATACTTTAAAAATCATTAACGTGCAAATTTCAAATAAATCTAGAATATTTATCTTACCTTATGTTGCATTGTCTGGACATAAGTGGTGTTATGATACTCTGTTCCTCCTTTTTTTTATTACCTGTATACCTTTAACTGCTATAAAGTAGTTCACTGATTATCATGGTTGCACTAGTGCGAGTCTCTTACCAACTCTATACTCTGTTGCTGTTTCAGACTCGCTTTACTACGTCAGTAACATTCTTGTGCCTTAAAGAAATATGACTGCATCAATAAGCCGCATGCGTTTCTTATAGTACTCTAGCTGCCTCTAATGGTCTCATACGTCTCTCCTTAGTACTCTATCTGTTTCAAGAACCTCCATGCAGAAATGTTAAGCGTAAATTTGGAACCATTACCTTGGGAGCCTTATAAAGGCCCCTTCCCGTAGAAAATTTCTGCTGTATTTTCCCAAATTCACTGCAAAAATCACTTTAATTTTCCAAAATTATGCTTTTTGTTTGTGATATTTTCCCAAGGTCACAAGGCACAGACCCTGTGGAGAGTAGGGAAACAACAACTGCCACGTGTCTGCAGTTTACAAAAACTGTACTATATAGACTCTTGGAAACTCCTCGAGACAGCTAAAGCGAGTTTCCATACTACATGTATACTGTTGTTGTGACATGTAGCTATAGCTGACTTAATGAGACCGATTTTTGACGTCATAATTGTTACGTTGTATACGACTCACCCTCTCTGGGCGATGTCTGTTCTTTTCATTGAAAAAGCATACACGAAACCTACATTATTTAAATTAAATACTGAATAATACTTAGCGTAATTGAATTGTCTATGAGATGAAGAGATTCTAAAAAAAATATAAATATAAGTATTGAACTGCTTTCAGTTGGCATTTATAGGCAATAAAAGTTCCAAGTGGACAAAAGTAAATCCAACATGAAACGCGCTAGCCTTTGTACAGTTGTCATTTATATTGCCTATGAATGCCAAATGAAAGCAGTTCAATGCTTAAATAAAGACACGGTTAATGGCATTCATAGCCTATATGAATGCCAATTGAATTTGTCAGGGTTATATAGTGGCAATGCTATACGATGGTAAATATAGCGCTATGACTGTCTCAAGAAGCCTCTTTATGTCTACAGTGATATAAATGTCTTAACGAGATAATGTATATCTGTGATAATGTGAGATTGACTGTCTCTACAAAACTTTGTGGGGAAACAGTACTCTCTCTTTCTCTCTTTAAGAAGCTATATGCGTCTCTATAGAACGTTACATTCTCTATGTTGTCAAGGATTCTCTAAGTGAACCAGCACACAATTAGATGTCTCTGTAGTGTTCGTCTCGGGCTACATGCAAAACAGATAAGATAGAATTTCAGTTTTATTTTCTAAAATTCAGTGAGTAACATCCGGGTTTTAAAATGCATAATCCCATTCGATTACAAGTATAAATCACAGTGTTTTTTTTATTTTTTGTCCAATTATATTTTGTTGTCAAATACTATGACATAAGCATTTCAAACAGTTCTTACAAACAACATTCGCCCTTTTAAAAGGATTGTATTGCATGTAGTCATTGATATGATTTATTAATAACATCGACGAACTAATTTATTATGCATATCGACGAACTAATTCATTATACATTCAAGTATAGGGTTCAATGTGATCGATTTCAATATATTATATCAATATAAACTTCCTTCTCACTGTCGTTAATTATGTAATGCTCAAACCAATATTGACATAAGAATCAATTAAACCCGTTCACAATTGATTGTGGTCATTTGTACTATAAGTGTGTTTACCTACGAAAGTAGGGAGTCTCGAGAGACACGCGTGTTCGTGTACCCGCCATTATCGCGACATGGTGCGTTCAACAGCGCTCAAATTGTGGCAATGATTCTTGATGAACTACAGCGTTAATTTGACAGAGAGAATATCGACGATTCTCTTTGAGAAGGTGCTTGCTTTCGTTTAGTTCCTATAAATCAATAAAACATTAGCAACGTGTCAACAAAGGTACTCCACACATCAACACGGGATACATAGGAAGGCGGAACGAAAACCATGTCTATATACACTGTAAACAGACAACGGTCACATATACCGTGTCATAAACCCCAAACAGACGAGTTGTATACGTGTATATATATACTGAACTATCATATACATGTTGGAACCTTAATTGTTTGCGAATCGCTATAGTATGTATAATGTATACCCATCAATATTGATATCTCGTTGAAAACGGCGAGACTACAGCGTGGTCTCACGCTCCGGTACCTGCACATTGTTTGACATTATCCAAGTGTGTTGTATTCTTAATGAATTAGTCAAAGGTGTATGTGGGTTACATTTTATCACTGACAATGCTCAGGACGGATATTAAGGATCGTACGGTTCATCGGGTTGTTTAAATACCGGGGTCCTTAGTACCACATATGTACAGAATATACAGTCTTCGTAAGCTTAGGCCACAGACGAGTAGGGGTTGTACGGGCATGGGGGTTTAAATGTACCCGGGAATTATCGGAACAGGTCTGTCCATTCTGTAATGTCTAAGTAATTACATAATGGAGGCGACAGGCAAAAAAGGAGAGGAGGAGGAGCAAGAGGAAGATGATGACCAAGAACCGGCGCCACTTATATCCCAACAGGCGCTCAAAGACCGATTATGGACAATCGTTACAGAAGGCAAATTTAAAGATCTGAAGAAATTTTTCCACATTTTTCGCAAGAACGATGTTCCATTGGACGACTTCAATGACGATTTCGACGAAGACGGTGGGAATGTATTGATGCAATGTGTGAAGGAAGGATGTGACCGGGGCAATTCGTTCGGACGGGATTATATAAAGTGTATTCGTCTGCTTATAGAGAAAGGGACATCCACTGATGACCAGGATAAGGCGGGTCGAACCCCACTCCACTGGGCTGTGTTCAGTAAAAATGTGAATTTCGTGAATGAGTTAATAGAAAGCGGGGCCGACCCGACCATTCGTGATCAGGATGGGATGGACCCCTTTCATCTAAGTATAATAATAGGTGCCAAGGAAATATTTAACTCCATTGTTCGAGATCGGGAGGTGGAGGTGAGTAAAAAAACTCTTTATGTCGATGATATTGTTAAAATTTTGTGTAGACATAATGGTCGAATAGTGATATATAGCAGATATAACGTAATATAAAAGGTGATGGAAGCAATTCAGTGTTGGCATTAGTGTTGTAGTAGAGGTAATGGTCAAACAGTCCTGTATGTCGATAATGTTGTAGTAGTAGAGGTAATGGGCAAACAGTCCTGTATGTCGTTAGTGTTGTACCTCTACTACTACATCACTAACGACATACAGGAATGTGTGACTAGTAGTAGTAGAGGTAATGGTCACACATTCCTGTGTGTAGTTAGTGTTGTAGAAGTGGTAGCGGTAAATGGTCAAACAGTACTGTATGTCGTTAGTATTATAGTAGTAGAAGAATTAGTCAAACAGTCCTGTATGTCGTTAGTGTTGAAGTAGTAGAGGTAATGGTCAAACAGTCCTATGTGTCGTTAATGTTGTAGTAGTAGAGGTAATAGTCAAACATTCCTGTGTGTCGTTAGTGTTGTAGTAGTAGAGGTAATGGTCACACATTCCTGTGTGTCGTTAGTGTTGTAGAAGTGGTAGCGGTAAATGGTCAAACAGTCCTGTATGTCGTTAGTATTATAGTAGTAGAGGTATTAGTCAAACAGTCCTGTATGTCGTTAGTGTTGTCCCTCTACTACTACATCACTAACGACATACAGGACTGTTTGACCATTACCTCTAGATCTACTACAACACTAACGACACACAGGACTGTTTGACCATTACCTCTACTACTACATCACTAAGGCCATACAGGACTGTTTGACCATTACCTCTACTACTACAACACTAACGACGTACAGGACTGTTTGACCATTACCTCTACTACTACAACACTAACGACGTACAGGACTGTTTGACCATTACCTCTACTACTACATCACTAACGATATACAGGACTGTGTGACCATTACCTCTACTACTATAACACTAACGACATACAGGACTGTGTGACTATTACCTCTACTACTAAAACACTAACGACACACAGGACTGTGTGACCATTACCTCTACTACTACATCACTAACGACATACAGGACTGTTTGACTATTACCTCTAGATCTACTACAACACTAACGACACACAGGACTGTTTGACCATTACCTCTACTACTCCAACACTAACGACATACCGGGCTGTTTGACCATTACCTCTACTACTACAACACTAACGACGTACAGGACTGTTTGACCATTACCTCTACTACTACATCACTAACGACACACAGGATTGTGACCATTACCTCTACTACTACAACACTAACGACACACATGACTGTTTGACCATTACATCTACTATTACAACATTAACGACATACAGGACTGTGTGACCATTACCTCTACTACTTCAACATTAACGACATACAGGACTGTGTGACTATTACCTCTACTACTACAACACTAACGACATACAGGACTGTGTGACTAATACCTCTACTACTACAACACTAACAACATACAGGACTGTTTGACTATTACCTCTACTACTACATCACTAACGACATACAGGAATGTGTGACTATTACCTGTACTACTACAACACTAACGACATACAGGACTGTGTGACCATTACCTCTACTACTACATCACTAACGATATACAGGACTGTGTGACCATTACCTCTACTACAACACTAACGACATACATGACTGTGTGACTATTACCTCTACTACTACAACACTAACGACACACAGGATTGTTTGACCTTTACCTCTACTACTACAACACTAACGACACACAGGATTGTTTGACCATTACCTCTACTACTACAACACTAACGACATACAGGACTATTTGACCATTACCTCTACTACTACAACACTAACGACAAACAGGACTGTTTGACCATTACCTCTACTACTACAACACTGACGACATACAGGACTATTTGACCATTACTTCTACTACTAAAACATTAACGACATACAGGACTGTTTGGCCATTACCTCTACTACTACAAAACTAACGACATACAGGACTGTGTGACCATTACCTCTACTACTATAACACTAACGACATGCAGGACTGTGTCACTATAACCTCTACTACTACAACATTAACGCCATACAGGACTGTTTGACCATTACCTCTACTACTACATCACTAACGACATACAGGAATGTGTGACTATTACCTCTCCTACTAAAACACTAACGACACACAGGACTGTGTGACCATTACCTCTACTACCACATCACTAACGACATACAGGAATGTGTGACTATTACCTCTCCTACTAAAACACTACCGACACACAGGACTGTGTGACCATTACCTCTACTACTATAACACTAACGACATACAGGACTGTGTGACCATTACCTCTACTACTATAACACTAACGATATACAGGATTGTTTGACCATTTCCTCTACTACTATAACACTAACGACATACAGGACTGTGTGACCATTACCTCTACTACCACATCACTAACGACATACAGGAATGTGTGACTATTACCTGTACTACTACAACACTAACGACATACAGGACTGTTTGACTATTACCTCTACTACTACAACACTAACGACATACAGGAATGTGTGACCATTACCTCTACTACTACAACATTAACGACAAACAGGACTGTTTGACTATTACCTCTACTACTACAACACTACCGACACACATGACTGTTTGACCATTACCTCTACTATTACAACACTGACGACACACAGGACTGTTTGACCATTACCTCTGGACTGTGTGACCATTACCTCTACTACTACACCACTAACGACACACAGGACTTTTTGACCATTACCTCTACTACTACATCACTAACGCCATTGTTTGACTATTACCTCTACTACTACATCACTAACGCCATTGTTTGACTATTACCTCTACTACTAAAACACTAAAGACATACAGGACTGTGTGACCATTACCTCTATTACTACATCACTAACGACATACAGGACTTTGTGACCATTACCTCTACTACTACATCACTAACGACATACAGGACTGTGTGATTATTACCTCTACTACAACAACACTAACGACATACAGGAATGTGTGACCATTACCTCTACTACAACACTAACGACATACAGGATTGCGTGCCCATTACCTCTACTACTATAACATTAACGACATACAGGACTGTTTGACCATGATCTCTACTACTACATCACTAACGACATACAGGACTGTGTGATTATTACCTCTACTACAACAACACTAACGACATACAGGAATGTGTGACTATTACCTCTACTACAACACTAACGACATACATGACTGTTTGACCATTACCTCTACTATTACAACACTGACGACACACAGGACTGTTTGACCATTTCCTCTACTACTACAACACTAACGACGTACAGGACTGTTTAACCATTACCTCTACTACTACAACACTAACGGCACACATGACTGTTTGACCATTCCCTCTACTACTACACCACTAACGACATACAGGACTGTCGTTAGTGTTGTATTAGATCTAGAGGTAATGGTCAAACAGTCCGGTATGTCGTTAGTGTTGTAGTAGTAGAGATAATGGTCACACAGTCCTGTATATCGTTAGTGTTGTAGTAGTAGAGGTTATAGTCAAACAGTCCTGTGTGTCGTTAGTGTTGAAGTAGTAGCGGTAATGGTCAAACAGTCCTGTGTGTCGTCAGTGTTGTAATAGTAGAGGTAATGGTCAAACAGTCCGGTATGTCGTTAGTGTTGTAGTAGTAGAGGGAATGGTCAAACAGTCATGTGTGCCGTTAGTGTTGTAGTAGTAGAGGTAATGATCAAACAGTCCTGTACGTCGTTAGTGTTGTAGTAGTAGAGGGAATGGTCAAACAGTCCTGTACGTCGTTAGTGTTGTAGTAGTAGAGGTATTAGTCAAACAGTCCTGTATGGCGTTAGTGATGTAGTAGTAGAGGTACAACACTAACGACATACAGGACTGTGCGACCATTACCTCTACTACTACAACATTTACGACAAACAGGACTGTTTGACTATTACCTCTACTGCTACAACACTAACGACATACAGGACTCTTTGACCATTACCTCTACTACTACATCACTAACGCCATTGTTTGACTATTACCTCTACTACTACATCACTAACGCCATTGTTTGACTATTACCTCTACTACTAAAACATTAACGACATACAGGACTGTGTGACTATTACCTCTACTATTACAACATTAACGACATACAGGACTGTTTGACCATGATCTCTACTACTACATCACTAACGACATACAGGAATGTGTGACCATTACCTCTACTACTAAAACACTAACGACATACAGGACTGTTTTACCATTACCTCTACTACTACATCACTAACGCCATACAGGACTGTTTGACTATTACCTCTACTGCTACAACACTAACGACATACAGGACTGACGTTAGTGTTGTATTAGATCTAGAGGTAATGGTCAAACAGTCCGGTATGTCGTTAGTGTTGGAGTAGTAGAGGTAATGGTCAAACAGTCATGTGTGCCGTTAGTGTTGTAGTAGTAGAGGTAATGATCAAACAGTCCTGTACGTCGTTAGTGTTGTAGTAGTAGAGGGAATGGTCAAACAGTCATGTGTGCCGTTAGTGTTGTAGTAGTAGAGGTATTAGTCAAACAGTCCTGTGTGTCGTTAGTGTTGAAGTAGTAGCGGTAATGGTCAAACAGTCCTGTGTGTCATTAGTGTTGTAGTAGTAGAAGTAATGGTCAAACAGTCCTGTATGTCGTTAATGTTATAGTAGTAGAGGTAATGGGCACGCAATCCTGTATGTCGTTAGTGTTGTAGTAGAGGTAATAGTCACACATTCCTGTATGTCGTTAATGTTGTAGTTGTCGTTAGTGTTGTAGTAGTAGAGATAATGGTCACACAGTCCTGTATATCGTTAGTGTTATAGTAGTAGAGGTAATGGTCAAAGAGTCCTGTATGTCGTTAGTGTTGTACCTCTACTACTACATCACTAACGCCATACAGGACTGTTTGACTAATACC